AATACCGGGTTGGGGGTGTTACATTAACAATTGAGTTACTGCCTTTTTATCTTTCTTCACCATTCGTTTTTCTAATACCACATCTGGATAAACACGAAGTTGTCCATCCGCATTAACTTCTGGAGGATCTCGAGAGGTAACTATCTTGTTCCCAATCTTCTTCTTTAATAGACTAATATGAAAAACATGGTGTATCTTTGAACTGTCAGGCAATTGCAATTTATAAGCCACTGACCCAATCCTTTCGATGATTTTGTAGGGTCCATAGTACCTCGCAGACAATTTCAAATTTTTCCTGAGGGTCACTGAGGTCTGCTTATAAGGCTGTAACTTGAGGTAAACTTCATTACCAACTTGAAATTCTCTATCACTTCTCTTTTTTTCAGCATAATATTTCATGTGTTGATGTGCCTTATCTAGTTGGTCTTGTAAAACAGTATTCATGTTGTCCCTCTCTTGTAATAATTGCTGCACATCTGCTACTTTGGAGTCTGTTAGCCATGTCATAGTAGGGGGAATATATCCATACAAAACTGTGAATGGAGTTGTTCCCAAAGCAGTATGGAAACTTGTATTATACCACCATTCAGCTTGTGATAACCACTTACTCCAATTAGTAGGCTTCATAAAACACATTCCACGCAAATACTGTTTTAGGCACTGATTTAGTCTCTCTGTCTGACCATCAGTTTCTGGATGGTAAGCTGTAGTGAATAGGGCAGTAGTTCCTAGGAGCTTCATTAATTCTGTCCAAAAAAGGCTAGTAAAAATTTTGTCTCTATCAGATAGAGCTATCTTTGGTTGCCCATGTAGTTTATAAATCTGATCCAAGTAGATTTTAGCTACATCTGCTGCATTGAAGGGATGCACCAAGGGTAGAAAATATGCATACTTGGTAAACTTGTCAATAATAACCAGGATGCAATTATACCTGTTAGAAGTAGGGAGACATTCAATAAAGTCTATTGTAACAAATTCCCAAGCTTGTTGAGGAATTAGAAGAGGTTGTAATAGTCCTGGTTTTAACACATGTTCATCCTTTATTCTCTGACAGATATCACACTGCTGCACATAGCTTTTAACCATGTTCTTCATTCCTTTCCAATAGAAATAAGATTTCACCCTGTGGTAGGTAGCTTGTATACCTGAATGGCCACCTTGTGGTGAGTCATGAAGAGCTTGTAGAATCTGTTATCTTAAGGAACCAGTTTCCCCAATATACACCTTACCTTTATATCTCAAGATACTTCTGGAATAAGACCAATCTGATGCCTCTTGCCTGGAAATATCTAACTTAGTAACCATTTCAGCAACTAGGGAATCACCTTGATAACTTTGTTCAACCTCTTGAACCCAAGTAGGAATGACAATAGTAGCAGTCATTTGTTGTAGCTCTCCTTCCTCCTCATCTCTTCTGGATAATGCATCTGCTGCCAAATTGTGTTTGCCCTTCTTGTACTGAATAACATAATACAGTCCCAATAATTTTGTAAGCCCTTTTTTCTGTATTGAAGTAGTGAGCTTCTGTTCCAGCAAATGCTTAAGAGCTTCATGGTTTGTTTTAATAATAAATGGCCCTCCTTCTAGGTAATGTCTCCATTTAGAGATAGCCATGAGTATGGCTAGGTATTCTTTTTCATAAATAGATAGATCCAATTGCTTGGGTCCCAATGCTCTGCTTAAATAAGCCACTGGTCTGCCTTCTTGAGACAAAACTGCTCCTATTCCCCTAGAACTTGTATCTGTCTCCAAACAAAAACTTTTATTAAAATCAGGTAATGCTTGGACAGGAGCATGACACATTGCACCTTTTAAAACTTCAAAAGCAGCTTTACTTTCCTCTGTCCATTGAAACTGATTCTTCTTTAACATAGTAGTTAAAGGCTTAGCAATCTCTCCATATCCTTTTATGAATCTCCTGTAATACCCTGTCAGCCCAATGAAACCCCTTAAGGATTTAAGAGTTTTTGGCAGCTTCCATTGTTGCATTGTCTGTATCTTTGCTGAATCAGTAGCCACTCCCTGCTTAGATATAATATAGCCCAAATATTCCACCTCATGTTGACCAAAGAAGCACTTTGTTCTTTTAGCAAACAGTTGATTCTGCTTAAGGACTTCCAAAACAGTCTTAAGATGCATGGCATGTTTCTTTAGATCAGGACTGTAAATGAGTATGTCATCAAAGAAAACTAATACAAATTTTCTTAGGTAAGGACCAAACAACTTGTTCATTAATGCCTGAAAAGTGACTGGGGCATTTGTTAATCCAAAAGGCATAACCTTGAACTCAAAGTGACCATGATGAGTCCTAAAGGCTGTTTTAGGAATGTCTTCAGGAGTGATTCTAATCTGCCAATACCCTGATCTTAAATCCAACTTAAAAAAATAGGTTGCTCCAGTCAACTCATCCAACAAATCTTCCACTACAGGAATTGGAAATTTGTTTTTTATAGTTAAGGCATTCAATTGCCTATAATCAATACACATTCTCCAACTTCCATCCTTCTTCTTAACCAACAAACAAGGAGAAGCAAATGGGCTTTTACTGGTCTGTATTATGGAAGAGGACAACATTTCCTTAATTTGTTTTTCCACTTCTGACTTCTGATGATAGGGCATCCTGTAGGGTCTAATGTTCACTGTTTCTGTACCCTCTTTTAGTGTAATAGTTCTCTTAGAGGTGGCATCCCTTTTGGTTCCTCAAAAATAGCTGAATATTCCTCTAATAAACTCTGTAATTCCACAGGTACCATATTAGTTATAACTTCCCCACTTAGCATAAAAATTTCCCCTGTTATATCATTGTTCTTCCCCATCAATTTCTGCAATTTACTGTCTGATATCACTTTGACAGTAGGTGAATTCTGTTTTCCTCTCAAAGTAATCTCCTCCCCATCTTTTTTAAAACTCATGGTCATATTATTGAAATCTATCAGTAGTGGACTATACTTTTTCATCCAGTCCACTCCTAGCACCATATCACTTCCTTCTAGAGTTAAAACTCTGAAGTCATGTTCAAACTGAGAACTCTGCATTCCCCATTTTAACTTTTTACTCATGGCTGAACTGTACAACTTTTCACCATTAGCAACTGTAATGGTCAAAGGATGAGTTTGCTCCAATTCCACTCCTTCTTTGGACCATTGACCAGTTATAAAACTGTGTGTGCTTCCACTGTCTATGAGAATGCTTAGAGGTCTCCCAGATATGTGTCCTTGAATCCTCAATGTGTGGTGACCTGTCTGCCCTGTTATAGCATTTATAAAAATTTCCAGCTCTTCTTCTACAGGATTTGTTGCAATAGCCTCATTATTTCCTATTTCCAGAGTTTCAAACTCTCATGTATCCTCCAATTTCTCCATTAAATTTAACTGTTTGACCTTGCATTGATGTCCTGGACTAAATTTCTCTCCACATTTGTAACATAATCCATGTGTCCTTCTATACTCCACTAATGATTGTTTACTCTGATTCAAATTCTGAACAGCTCTTTTTTGTGATTGATTTAAATTAGTGTATGGGACCTTGTAGTTAAAGCTCTGTCCTGTAGATACTGCTCTAGGCTGGAACCTCAGTTTCTTGTTTTCTACTTCCCAAGTCAATTCCACTAATTTAGCCAATCTAAAAGCAGTGGCTAAAGTTATGGGATTATGAATTTTAACCCTGTGCTTAATTTCTTCTTTCAATTCACTCAGGAAACTAGAAACAAAATACCCCTCCTCCAAAAATGGACTATACTGCAGCATGTAAGACCTAAACTCCTCAAACTTCTCATGATAATCTTCTACAGAATTCTTTTGAATCAGCTTATTAAACTCTTCCACAATGTCATTACAATTTTGATCACAGAATCTATGACATATATCTGTTGTAAATTCATGCCAGTTTACTTTATGTTTCTGAGTTATATAGCCATCAAACCAGGTCTCAGCCTTTCCTGTTAAATACATGGTAGCTAATTCTACTTTCTGACCTTCAGGTACTCTAAAGATTGAGAAATACTTCTGACATTTTTTTACCCAACTTCTAGGATTTGTTCCATCAAACATTTGCAGTTCTATTTTTGGTCTGAAAACATAACCTGAATGAACATCTTCCCCAATGGATGATTCTCCCATTTCTGTTATGTTTTCCCCTATTTTTACTTTTTGCACATCCATTCTAGCATGAGGTTGATTTTCACAAAGTGGAGGTGTGTTAACAGGTTTAGGAGCTAATATTCCCGGTTCACCAGTCTTAAATGTATACTTCTCATGCTCACCAAGAACAGTAACCAAACATGGAAGCTTACATTCTTCTTTATTTTGTTTTGCAGCTGCTGGTGGTTGACTCCTTTCTGACCGAGGTGAATCTTTTTCCTCAGCTGCTTGATTGACCAGCTGTAGGATTCGCTGCAAATAACCTCTATTTTCAATCATCCCCTCTTACAATGTTTGTATCCTTCCCTCCAGCTCTGCCTTCTGTCCATCCCACCAAGATGGTAAGGCCTCTTCATCCTTAACCTCTACTGCTTGTTCTTGTACCTCCACGGTTCCAGTCTTTTTCATCTTTTTTGTTTTACCCAGCGTATAGATTTGTTTGGGATCACTGAATTGGCTCTGATTACCAATTGTCAGGTTTGCACCTGAAATTTGTGGGAAAGGATTATAGAAGAAGAAAAAAGAATGGGTTTACAGAAAACGGATTCTTAATTTTCATTCATCGAGTTCATTTTTCTTCCATTACATTCTATATATTGCTAGATAGACCAATTATTTAGTTACAGCTGTAATATTCTTTCTAACAAAATAACTGCCTCTGTCCAGCTCAGTTTTGGCCCGTTTCATCCCTGCTTACTGACTTCCTTCAGTCCACTGGCACTCCTCAACCCATGCCAATATCAGATAAAAATCAGGTAACAATTTCTAAATCCCCAATTTGTTCCTCATTTTCCCCATTCTCTTCGTCAATCCCTAATTTGTGATCCAAATTCCCTAATTTTCCTTCCAGGGCCATGACATTTTGAGGTTGAAGATGACGGATGTGATATTACATGTATATGATGTGACAAACAGTGAGTCCGATAAAACGAATAGCATCATTGTTCAAATCAACAAGATCTTCAAGGATGGAATCGGCCTCGGTGGCATCTTCCACAGTGCCATTCAGGTACCTTCTTTCTCACTCTCTTTTCTTTTTGGAATTTTAACATTTCTTGTTGCATTCTTTCTTGTTGTGATTAAATGGATCAAGGGTTTCTGGTTTAGAAATTTAGCCCATGTTTTGAATTACTAGAGTTTTTCCTTTTTATTATAGTTGGTATTAAACCCTGGACATGGGGAAGGGTAGGTGAACCTCTGCCACTAGGCCACTATGAGGGTTCAGGATTTTGCTTATTTTATCATTGCAAATATGGTCTGATGTTTTGATTGGCACATTCAAGGTATCTGACAAAGGGGGGGGGGAAATAACACTACTAAAATTTTGATGGTTACTGTGCACGAAGGCTTATAGTTTCAATGTTTCTTTTTCGGCAAGAGAATCATATTATTGTTTCTGAGTAACCTTACATAGATTAGTTGTTACTTGTTAATTTATTTTTGTCATTTTAATATATCAAGATTTAGCTATTGAGTTCTGATAGTTTTTGGAGTGTCCTCGTCAACACCTCACCGGCCAAAGTATTTTAGAGACTGAGGGCTATTTTAGTTCTTTTATACAAAGTTTTATGTGAAAACTCTGCTTCTATTTTACCATTTGGGTTTGTGTAACTAGATATTAGGTCTTCCTGGATTATTTATATCAATTTTTAGTTCTACTTTTTGAAGAATATATAGAAAATTTACCACCCTATTCCTCAATCTTGCAACTAAATCAGAAAGAAAAGAGAACGCGTTTTATACCAATTTCTTGTAGTTAGGTGTACTGGCAATGATTGTCATCTCATTTGAGTACTTTGGGTTTGTTTTGCCATTAATCTTGTTGCTCACACTTTACGTGTTCATTGTTGTTGATACTATACCCGTGGTACATCAGATGAAGATACCTATTTTGTTTAAGTATTCTTTTTCCTAAATATCATATTACATGTTGATTCTCCTAAGTTTTCAAACAGTATCAGATTTTGGGCGACTGAATAATGGGTATTCATGTTTATTGTCAACTTCTAAAGACTCTTTTGTTATTGTCTGATGCCATTTATTTGTCAAGCATAATAATTTTATTGCCGAGCTGACAGTTGTATGGAGAAGATGAATGGTCTTTTGGCTTCTGTGAGCAAGGGTCTGGAGTTTTTAGTTGTCCATCTGGCAGAAATCCAATGTATTCATATCGTGAGTCCATAGTCCTTGGAAGGACTAACTTTCCAATATTCAAGGTAAAACATATCTTGCGGGAACTCAGTAGAGAGTGGCCTGGAAGTTCATATGAATTGTTATCCAAAAACTGCAATCACTTCTGTGACGACCTCTGCGAAAGGCTTGGTGTCCAAAAGCTTCCAGGTAAACTTAAGTGCCATGTTCTTTCAGGGTTGAACGGATGTAGGTATCATTATTGATTACTGCTTCATCTATACCTTTTAAATTTGTAGCCTACTGGCAAATGGCCAAAATATTTAATATATCTTTTGAGTTGAATTTAAAAGAAAAACTCTTTTCATTCCTGATTCTCTTTTATTAATAGCATTATTCCGTTATTGGATACATTATTCAAATCTTCAGTGAACATTAAGTATGATCTAAACAGAACCATTTTCTCATCTCTTGAAATTTATGTCTGGTGTTGCTTGATATAAAGTAATTTAAAATTGTGATTCATACCAGCTATTAGCTTGTCAATGCTAATATGATCCGAGTTCTTTTGCTGCACTCTAGCTCCATCATCTATGTGCTTTGGTGATAAACCAGAACCTCTGACAGAAAACTATTTTAAGGTTTGTCTTGGGCTCTTGGCTACCGACCTTATGATGTGAAGGCTAAAGGCAACAATATCATTTGAATTCCACCAGAATGCAAACCAATGGCTGGCATTACTTGATGATATAAAACTTAGTCCGGATGAATGAATAGGCCATGTTTTTTGTCGCATCATTTCAGCTTATAGCAACTTTCTCATTCTTACAGTTTTTGTAACAGGTTGGGTTAATCGTTTTGCCAATACTGGTGATATTGCAATAGAGATAGCAGAAAACATTGCTGTTCGGGTGAGATTCCATTTCTTGGTTCATGATCATCATAATCTGCTAAAAGATCCTTCTTAGTATTCAGCAAGCAACACCTCTAAAGCTATAATCATCTGAACATTACAGAAACAGCTTTATGTGTATTTTATGTGTGGATGCATACATTTTTGCAGCTAGGCATGCATTATTAAGCTGTATTTCTGACATCACGTGATTCTTTCTATATATTTCTTAACTTGAGTTTGATCATTGCTATTATTTGTTCAGTTGTTATCAGGATTGTTGTCTGTTATCTTTTTGAAGGTGTTTGCCTTGAGACATTGTGAAACTATAAAAAAAGTTATTGTGAACTACGCTCTTGTCCAGAAGGATAGAAAGATACTAGCAAATTGAAATTTGCATTATTGTTCTTTTCTGCTTCTTTGTCACCCTTCCTGCTATGTTATGTTTGTGTTAAAATTTGCATTAAAACTTCCCTTGAAATTGGAACTACTTATCATGCTGAAAATGTGAAATATCCTAAAACTTAAAAGTTTAAACCCTAAATATGATGAGTGCTTAAAATTGTTGTGTTGGTCATTGCAGTTGAGACAAGCCAAGACTGAGATAGTGTCGGCTAGCAAAGTGGTATATCGTTTCCTTGTGGGCGTTACCTCTGTTTCTGGTGGTGGAAAGGACTCCCCTAGCAATTCAAATAGAGGGGGCCCCAGATTTAAAGCAGCTTGGTTTAAAAACATTATCAATGTCTGCGATAAACCATCGATCAGATCTGAAATTGAGACTCTAGGAAACAATGCCCTTCAAAAGCATCATCCACAGAATTCTGCGCTGACAAAGCTACAAAATTTTCAAGATCCAGAAAGACAACGGCAGAGTGTACAAGATTTCAAACAACCAATGGTCCCGTGTTCACCAGAATCAGAACAACCTCTGCTACAGAATTAATGGCTGGATATTTGATGGAAATGCTTACCAGGAGCATCCTCTATGTTGTGGTACTACTTGGAAACTCTGCACAGCCAATCAAAGAAGATATTCATTGTGCATGAATGTGAAATTGTTAATTTGTTCTCCCGAACAGATATTTACAAATCTTTATACCCCACTTTGAAAAGACTCAATCCAACATTGTTTTCTTCAGCATTCTCTGAAATCTCTCATGTGGTGCTTAGGGCAGTCTTAGATTGTTAGGTAATATTGAATACTTTCTATGGTGAAACCTTTTAATGAACTGATTTTGATTCTCTCTTTTTTTCCTTTGTATGTATATTTGTGTCATGTGTGTATATATATGTAGGGCTTGATCTTCAATGCCGGAAACTATGTACATGTACTTGGATTCCGGTTACCAATTACTTACGTATCTCGTGCAACGAATGCTTGGATCAAGCACCCCCAAGGTTAGGGTTAAAAATTAAGGAGTAGATTACTGTTGATATATTCTATTTGGTGCCTAAAAGATTTGTTATGGAAAATATTTCTTCAACTGTGATGTATAAGTTCTTTACATTTATGATATTTTACTCAAAGTCAACACCTTTTTCTATTGGCTAAAGTTTCTAATAAATTGATCAAAATGGTCCGACGCATTAAACATGAGCAAATTTTAGTTGAATCAAATCAAATTGGAGTTAATAATTACGAAAATTATTTGATACATCGTTTTGGGAGGATTGTTCAGATCTAAAATGTCATTTTACCAGATTCAACCCATGTCCTGGGGCAACAAATACAGGACTTGCAGCACAGTATGTTTCAGCACTCCAGATTACCGAGGATACAGCGGTAAACACGATTGTTCTCGATGTTATGTTGAGGCTAAAAATGAAAAAGAGATGAGCAAATACGACTAACGGTCATTGACATGGCAACATAACTATAATTCCATTTATAACGATATTGTTTTGTACCAAATCGGTCACATACGTTATATAACAAATTGGTCATTCGGCATTAATAGCCATTAATATGGGTGACGGAAATGTGATTTTGATTGTTGACGGCTTACATAGTCCGTTGACTGATCACTTCTTTGACTTTAAATAAAAATTTAATCTCATTTTATTTATTTTTATTTTAAAGTTATCTTCAAGCTCCAAAACACCATGGATCTTTTCAAACTCCACCGCCCGCTCTCCTCTACCACTGCATCGCTTCTCTTCATCGACATGACACTAACTTGGATCATTATAAGAAGGATGGGCACTGTGTTTAGGCCGATCCTTTCCTATTAATGTGGTTGACAGATCATTACCTGCGCTAGGACCATTACCAGCATGCTCGGACATACAATCTTCATGAGCAAGATGCAAACTTTCAGACTTAATTTTCTTGAACACCTTTAAAGAATTTTGATCAGAGGTCCTTCTTCTTTTCATCTTTGAAGTTTTGGCATCACCTAATTGGATGTGTTTAATAAAAGCAACATATTATATAATTTCAAAAAGAAATTCTAGATGTACAAGTTACAACAAATGTATGTTTAAAAAAACGTACCTCCATTAGATCTGTGTTCTGCATGTTCTTCTAGTAATTGGCTCGTCTTTATATATTGCATTTGATATTTCTTTTGAACCATATTTCTTCTTCAAGGAGGAATAGCATGTGAACCAAAACATTGTTGGTTTCGTTCAGGTTGCAGAGCATCAGCTGATTATAATCTGGACATAGTACTGTCGAGATTACTTTGCATATTCTTTCGACTTGCTACATTAAGAACTTGATACAACGCAAAAACAACTTTTGTAGTTTCCTCCTCGTCAACATATTAGTGGTTCATTGCAAAGACAAACAATATCAGAGAAGAAAAGGTACCTCTCCACAATCCATCACAAAGTTGACCACCATAACCATTTTAACAATGTATATGTATGAAAATTTTGGGAATCTGAACTATGAACCATTAAATTATATTGAATTTTTTTTTAGAAGGGATGATAAAGAAATTTACAGCCAGTTAAGTATACTGCATGACCACTTCTCGGGTAAATTAATAGGCTTTATGCTTATTGGAAGAAGGCAAGCACCGGTGACATTCACATCGTATTTCGGAGCTTGAAGATGACTTATTCTTTGTCCTTGGATACCGTCCTGTCAATGAAGAGAAGCGATGTAGTGTTAAAGGAGAGCAGACGATGAAGTTTGAAGAAATCCACAGGGTCGGGATAAGACGTTGTAAGCCCTGTGCAAATTCTTAAAAATATGTCATTTTTCGTAAAGTGAGTTAGACAAAAAAAATGAGATAAGCTTTACAGCTGTAGCATAGTACTAATTATTGGTATTTCTCATATCTTCCTTCGAATAAACTTTTTGGGCTCCCTTTTGATAGTTTAATTATCTACGGTAATACCAATAATCTCATTGTGAACTTTTTGGGGCCCTTGCTATTCCGAAATCATGTTCCTTTGCGCACATTGCACATGCCTAGCCCCGCCTCTGGAAATCTATCGTGTTTCAGGGATGTTTTAGAGTTTAAAGATGGGTTTAAAATAAAAATGAATAAATTAAGGTTGAATTTTTATTTAAAATTAAAAAGATAATCGGTCAACGAGCCATGTAAACGGTCAACAGTCAAACTTAACTTTCTCACTCATGTTAACAACTATTAACATTGAGTGATCAATTTGTTACAAATCGATAATATTAATAATTAATTTATTATAAATCGATAACGTTAATTACCAATTTATTATTTTAAAAACTTCATTGGAAAAAAAATAATAACTTATTCAAACATTAATGATCATTTGTGTAATTTACCCTAGTTTTTATTATAAATTTCCAAACGTATTTAAAAACAATTAAATTACTAAAAAAATAACTATTAATTAATTTAACTTTTAACTGACTAATGAAATAAAAAATGATTATACTAACTCTTAGAAATATTAAATTACCAAAAATATTAATTTCCAAACGACTAATAAAACTCTAAATGATTATACATAGTTTTATAATCACGACGCTTTGCTTAATTTGATTCTCCTATTGATCTCTTTCTCCAGTTCTTCAAGTCCTCCCACCTCCTCTAGTTCCTGCATTTGCATTCACACACTAATTCATATTATTTTGACGGATTAAACAAGGTCACGAGTTTAAATCTTGATATCGTAAATAAAATAAATTAAGTATAATAAATAAAATAAATTAAGTCGAGTGTCCCCGTAAATAGATATCTATAATACTCGATCTAAATTAATTAATCAATAGATGAGACGTGGATAATTAAATTTTAAAAAAAGTTGAAAACAATAAATCACCTTAGGCCCTAGAAACAACCCATACGGGACACCGTTGAATTTTTCTGAATGGTGGAGCTGAAAAAACAAAGCATGGCCATTGGACACAGTTGGAAGAAGACAACCCCCAAATGTGCAAAAACTGTGTAGTATATTATTAACCTGGTGAGCCGCAGCAACCTTCCTGAAGTAAGGCACGTCGGCGATCGGCCCTACGGGGAACCTCTTATGGACGAGACCATCATGCACGAACATGTAAGCCATTCCGAACAACGTAATGCCAAGCCCCTGCTCATCGAAATGAACCGAAATTAGTACCAAAAACAAGCAGACAATATAGTTAAGGAGACTAATACTGTGTCCAAACTTACAGCACCGAAACATAGACCAGGAACAAGGCCTTTGTTGAAGAAACCATAAGACAGAAGTGCAATTGCTGGGACTGCGTTGATTACGGCGAACACATCGTTTAGCTCGAACGCTCCTTCCCTCGGTCGATGGTGAGACTGCATAATTATAACCAGGACAGACACGAGATTTACGAACAGATTATCAATACAATATACCAGAATTATATGAAAAATACCTCGTGCATGTCCCACAAGGAAGCATGCCAGAGAGCTCGATGAGCCCATCTAGCCCAAAACTCCATGCCCACCTGAAAATAAAACAATACCCAGTTTCCGATTCAACACTCGAATTAACTTTCAAAAATGCAATGATATAAACGTCGATGAACGAAATCGAACTTACAGCGGCACCGACTGATAAAGTAAATGTACCAAACATTTCAGAAAGAGGCACTTCTCCTCCCTTTTGAAAAAAAAAACCCAATTTCAGATATTGTTCATACTGTTAGAACGAAGATAAATTGTGGGGGGGGGGGGGAATGGTGAAAAGGGGGGAAGAAACGAACCTCCATTTGCCACCAAAACCTGTAATAAACGGCCATGACGGACATGGAAGTGATCCCAAAACTAGACATGACAGCAGCGACGAGGTAAGTAAACCTCTCGGATTTCTTCCTAGCTAACTTCTCCGACACACGCGCCGGTATCAAGATCTGACGGTCGATGACATCATCGGATCCTTGTTCTACGATCTGGGGAACAGGACAACCACTATGCTTCTGTTCATCTTTCTCAACCACAAAGCGAACGGTGAAGCTCTTCTTTCGTCGAGCTCCGAACGTTGTTGTTAGTAAAGGGCGGGAAATTGGGGTTGGCTTCGGCGCGTGGTGTAAGGATGAGAATGGACGGAAGGGTTTAGGAGCTATGGCGGCGGATAAGCCTACCGCCATGGAAAGAAAAGAAAAACTCAGCTGCGAGAAGCTAAACTTTGATAATCGGATGCTTACAACCTTAAAATAAGCTCCCGGAATGGGGACACGGACAGAGGAAAACGAAGGAGGAGGAGAAGATGGACCTCGAATTTTATGGAGTGGTTGGTCGGTTCAGCGGGTTAACGCACTGAGACCACAATTATTTCTGCAACTTGTCGTGGCCTCCTGAGATGGCTTTAGAATCTATGGAGTTGTTTAAAACACCTTGGTTGATGCTAACAGTAAAAGGTAATTTTTATAGGGTAAACTATATGTTTACTATCTCGATTATTACTTTTATTTCATTTTAGTCAACTAATTATTTTAAAAAAAAATTATGACTAACGTTTAGTTTTGGTTTATTTTAGTCACCCGCTATTAAAAAATTAATGGTGATGCTGACGTATCACTATAAGGTAATATCACGTCATCATTAAAAAAAAATATCACGTCAGCGGATTTGTTAATTTTTTAATGATGAATAACCAAAA